GTTTATCAAATATTAGTGAAACAGCAATAATATTTTCCAGTGTTCATATCACTAGATAACCAATATCTATTTTACTAACCGTTCATGATAATACAGATGCTGTACAATCGAATTATAAAAATCAAGTTATAGAAGAAAAAAAAATAGAAAAGGTGTTGTTCTTATTGTTAAAGATTTACAACTAAGATTGATAGGAAAAGCGTAATAGAAAATGGATTCATTTCAATATATCCATAAACTGAGAATCTTAGTATTACATCACTTAAATTATGCTTACTTTTATAGCAATAAGTTGATGAATATGATTATCCAAATTTGAAAAAAAAAATCCAATCATTCATCAAAAACAAAAACTAATGGATCAATATTGCCGTAAATATACTTTATCATACATAGACTCTCGTACTGGCAAGATAAAATAAAATAAATCTCTTCATATATTTTTCCTTTCTTTTTTTTTAGACTATTATAACACATTGACCAGCTATTGATAAAACTTTAGATCAAAATCGTTTTCAATCAGTCCCACCAAAATTTTATATTTATTAAAAAAATTTAGATTAATTTTCTCGATGTTTCTTTATTCTGAATAAGTTTTTTATTATCGTTGACATTCAACCATTGTATTATAATCATTTTGATATTTCATACGAAAATTTTTTTGTTCAATAAATTCATTTACCAACTGACGAATATCATCATTACGGAACGTGTTCTTGTTGATACTATTTTTCGAGAAGTTAGTTATACTAGTTTTTGGCATATAATAAAATTCAATACATTGTTTTACACTTTTTGTTCCAATCTTTAAATAAAAGAAAAAAAACAAAGTCAAAATATAAATATATTTATTCATCAAAGAAAAAAATTAAATTAAATAACACATTGCTTGACTAATAAGTTCAAAATTTTTTTCTGATGTTTGTAAAGGTTTTGTAAAAGCATCAATTTCTTTTGTCCATTTATCACAATCAAGAAAATGATAACTATGTAATGGTCGACATTGTTTTATATCATTAACTATACTTTCAAGTAAAGCAGCTAATGTACGTGATAGATCACCATTATATTCATATAATAACATATAAATTAATTCAAGTGGATAGGATTTTGGTGAATGACGCGATGAAAATAAATATGGATTCGTTCGATTTAATTGTTCAAATTTTTCAAGAGATTTTTGATCCAGATATAATAATTCTGTTGGTGAAAATAATAGTTCATCAGTAATTACTACAACAAAGAAAAAAAAAATCAACATCGATTATAAGTAATAAAAATATTGTTAATTACAATTAATTATAGAGAGTGAAATCTGAAGTATCAATCAAATATTAAATATCCTTAAAACTTCTTCTTTTGACTTTTGCACTGCA